AGATTAAATGAGATGATTAGGAGAAGAAAAGAGGCAAGACAAGGAAGAGAGGATATGAGACAAAGAGGAAAAGAAAGAACAGGAGAAAAGATGAGATAAGACAAGACAACGACAAAAAGAAGAGGAGAAATGAGAGGGGAGAGTGTAAGTGACTCTCAGTTGGGGAAATTCTGCAGACCTTCATGCATGATGGACAGAGCGTGACGGATACACCTCCACAGACAGCAAATCGATCAAGCAAATTTAAAGTCTCACAGACCACAAATTCATTTCTGTGCTACTGAAAGAACAGCAAGACCTTTAGCACTGCCTCTGGTCCCAAAGCTCCTATCCAAACCAACAGGAGAAAAACCCCCAAAAAAACAAGGAACTCAAATCAATATTACTTCCCAGACTACATCAAGAATGTAATAGAAAAACTTTGAGACTGTGTCTCAAAACCTAGTGAGCTGCCTGACTAGAATGCATCTGTGTCTGAAAAAATGTGTAAAAGTTGTACCTTATGGGTACAACAGCTCGTCCCTTTAAGGGTACAGTCCCAATGACATTCTATCCTTGTACCTTATCTACCCCTAAAAGGTGCATATAGTAATTTGTAGCCTTTAAGGTCCACTACTATGAACTTTAAGGTACAAAGTTGTCCCTATGAGGATACTGCACCAGTGAGTCAGTGACAAGCTGCTGTCCCCATAAAGGTACCATACTACATTGTTTCTGAGAGTGATGCCTAAATTGCTGTCTATCTGGGGAGTTCACAGTGTTCCATTCAACTTTGGTCATGGGATTTTTCTACCTCGAATATCAGCCTTCCAACAATAAATGTTCTGCCAGGAAGAGGATGCATAATGAAGCACAGTCACAATGCTAGCATTGACGTTATGACTAAAAGTGCATTGACTTAATGCACCAAGTAGGACATTTGGAAATTCTAATGTAATGAACAATTTATTCAGGCTGTCGAATCAGATTCATCTAGGACCCAAGGCGATTCCACTGGGTAAAAGAACTTTTAATGGTCTCCCAATTCAGAATTTGATTAGAAATCCTATAAAATTGCTTGGTTTATGTTGTATGAAATACTGTTACATACACTCTCAGAAAAAAATGGTACCTTTCGGGGTACAACAGCTTGTTGGTGCGGCAGTAGCCTTAAAGCAAGGGTGGGCAACTCTGACCCTCGAGATCTGTTTACTTGCAGAGCTTTGCTCTAACCCTAATCAAACACACCTGATTAAGCTAATCAATGTTTTGTGTCCATGATTACTAGAAAGTGACAGGCAGGAGAGTTTGATAAGGATTGGAGCTAAACTCTACAGGAAAGTGGATCTCAAAGACCAGAGTTGCCCAGCTCTGCCTTAAAGAGATACCTTTGTACCTCATTTATACCTAAATGGTTTATAGTAGTACCTTAAGAGTACATATTACTACAAGGTACTAATTCACACCTTTTAGGAATATATAAGGTACAACATGCTTTTTTGCAGATTTGTTATGAAATTGTATCATAGAATCCCTCAAAGTACTAGCTTAGCATACTCATAGCTTAGTTTAATTTATACTCTACACATTCCTAACTCCTTGGTGACCTAGACGTACAATGACACCTTTCAACTTTCCACAAAGCATTAGCTTCAGCCACGGATTAGCATAGACGAGAGAAGCTATTCCTAAAAATTATAACCATCGTGGGGTTTCGGCTGCGTCTGTTTGCTGCATTCTGCATATACTTCAGCCTCTATTATTCATTCTCTGTTTTACTGCTAGCGGCTGAGGTTGCATTTATTCATTCACAAAGATATAGCAGTAGTTCAACTCTGTGCTGCTAGTTCATTAGTGTTCTGTTGAGTGTATGTGTGTGTGTGTAAGTATCTCTACAGATCTTCCTGACACAGGCCACCCCTGCTGCATTGCTGATGGCTCTTGCGGTTTTGGAGCTGAACTGACTGCAGTGTTGTGGTCTGGAGACTCAGATAAAGTCCTGCTCTTGCGTTGAACTTTACTCTCGGATAGCACTAGGGCTCGTCCTCTTTATCACCTCTTATATTACACATTAATATTCATTGAGGAATAAAATACCAATACAACCCCTCCCCAATTTCTCTCTTCTTCTAAAGGGTGCTGACAGTCACGCATGATCACTCTCAGAGTTCACAGCAGGTGAAAATGGCATACACACTGCAGCATGTTGCTATAACGTTTACCACCTCTACTGTCCATCCTTATATTGCCACAATGCTGACATCAGCACAATACTTTTGACCTGTATACTACTGTATGTTCCTGTCGTAACATTTTTAGCTGTATTTTTTTTTATTTTCTTTTTTTGAGGAAGTCTCTCCAGGTATTTCCTGGCTCAACTGTTCACACATAATCTCGTTCCCCTAAAGACATGGTATTATTAGTCTGTCTCAGAATGGGGTTAACACTTTGGAAATAATGCTGACATGGTAAAACCCCACTGTAATCTGAAACTAAAGAGTGACAGAGGACAGAACGACAGAGAGAGAGACACTGAACCAGGGGCTGAGGAATTGAATGAGATGAATGGACCCCCCCCCCCCCCCCCCCCCCATACACACACACACACACAAACACACACAACCCCCGACACAACACGCACACAGTCCTGGGTTGTGACCTGAAGTTAAGACTTCCTCGCTGAAAGGACCAGCTTGTTGGGCTTTATACAGACTTCTTAAATTTAATACAATTTTCAACGTTTAGTGAGTATGTGCACACAGACACAGTGTGTAACTTCTGCACCATTAGCGACAGAGTTTGTTAGAGGTGAGAAGTGGAGTGGAGTTGCATTATTTTGGCTTTAGTGAAGAGAGGGTTTTGTATAGCCGGAATGCTTTCAAAAGATACCACTACCTAACGAGGGGTAACACATAATAAATAAGATATTTTTAAAAACCACTTTGATATTACAAAAATATAAAATAAATCATTAATATTAAATGTTAATTAAAATAATATTTTAAAATCTATATATTTATTGATTGATTGATTTGTTTGTTTGCTGTTGTCCAATTTCTGTCACTTCTCTCCACTCACATAGTCTTAATATTTGCACCAAACCAATTTGCAATCTTTTTGTTTCAGTTGCCCATCGTAGCAACACTGAATCAACCACTGAGTTGGGGCGGGACTATTTGTTTGACTGACCAATGGGAGATGGTACATAGCCACTAAGGGGACATGGTGATGGAACAAATATGAAATAAAAAAAAATATATATATTTTTTAAATATGAGATTGAAAAATTATACCTCAATGCGTTTGCGTTCGCTCACAAACGTATTGCATTCCATCGAGAAACTTCATTCTCACACAAAAGAACTGAAATATAGTTTTTCTTCCCACTACATATTATTTCCATCACAACAGATTTGCGAGCGTTTATTGGAAATGTTAATAATTCCGTATGGTGTCACTAGATGTGTGGAAATTACCCACTGCGGCTTAAAGGAAAAGGGAGATCAAGAAGTCAACTGAATATGACGATAGGAGCTATAGATTTATAAAAGCAGCAGCTGAGATATTTTTGAGAGTGGCCCAGGCCACGAACATCATCCCCTTAAGCTCTATAACCCGTTATAGATGGATTTAGCAACCCTCAATCACACAACACCACAAAACCAGCTTTCCTCCTCCACTAAATACCAGAGAAGAGAGGATGTAACTGCTCAACACACTATTTCTGAGGCTGAATCTAGGGATGAAATATGCTAAAACAGATTTGCTAAAAGAGTTGCACCACTTTATGTACGTGGTAATTCAGGAGTCAAACTGCTTCTTATTCACTAACCACCTACAATCCAGTTTCACCAGGCTCTAAAATGTGTTAGTATAGTGCTCCACCATTAATATTTACAAAATCACTTCAAGCTATTGCCGCCTGCAGAAAACAATTGAATCTTAACTAGATATTTGAGTTTCTAGTGACATGGCAGGAGCAATCCATGCAATGATGGTCAAATAATGGAAAATAGCTGTAGATCCAGATGTGCTGTTGGTATTTTAAAGAGCCGATTCAGGTGTCTGGATTGCTGTGGTGATTCTGTACAGTAAAGCAGCCAGATTGTAGTAGCCTACTCTGCTGAATCCTCCACAGCCTAGAGCTGGTCTGCAAGACGAGGAATTGTGCTGAATTCAGAACTAATTTTTGGGTGTGTTTGTACCATTATCATAATTTCCTTATCATGCGTTAAACAACTAAAATGCAGACTAAAACGACACTCTCAGTGGGCGCAATTCTCTCCCGAGTGCTGTTGGTGCAATGTGAGGAAAGAGGGGTCACTTTAGCTCTGCCCTTGAGTGGCATGTGGTAGCCACGGGAGAAATCACATTTGATTAAAAAATTAAAGCCTTGCCAAAATTACAGAATGCTGACATACTTTATTCTTCACCACCTATAGGGGTTTTGCTGCGACGAGGCACACACACTCACACACCCACACACTCACACATTTCCCTCTATTGCTCTCAGTATCACCTGGAGGTGTTATTGCTGGACTGGTTACATCTTGTGTGTAAGGCTTTTCGGTGCAGTGCATACAGGCTTACTGAGATCAATAATGTCCCGTCCAATACAGGGCTCAACAATAAGAATGGTCTGGTGGCCCGGGGCAAGTGAGAGATTTTCAGGACTCTTTAGGTGCCCTATTAGGGCAGTGCTGACTTGTCAAAATGTCTTGCATTAATTAATCATGCAATTGTGTTTTTTTTTATTTTTTTTTGTTGTTGTTGTAAAAAACTGTATTTTGTGTGGAAACGTGCTACTTTTTGTCAGGACTCTTTGAAGAAAAGAACAGCATTTATTTTGAAATAGAAATCTTTTGTAACATTTTAAATGACTTTACTGTCACTTTGGACCAATTAAATGCATCCTTCCTGATTAAACGTATTAGTTTTTAAAAGCAACGGCAAACTTTTTAATTTATTAATTCATTTATTGATGATAAATGCAGCTATTCATTTTTGTCGAGGGGCAAGTGAAAATTACTCGCCTGCCCGCCTTATTGTTAAGCCCTGCAATATAATGTTCTCAATCCATCATCTGAGCAGTCAGTCAGTCTGTGACCCCTTAAAAAAGCATTTGCAGCTTTCCATGGAGTTGCGCAGACAGTTTAGAAGAGTCGTCCGTCTTCCATTCGTTCATTTCACACTGCATGGGTCTGGAGAGACTGCCTTGTATATTTATATTCCTTTCTTTAAACCATCTCAGCTTTTATTTTCTAGCTCGGTCACTGGATTAGTTTTCAAGCCTCTCTACCTTATCCATCTTTTTCCATTTTCCTTCTATCTCGCTGTCTCTCTCATTACTGTGAAACACAGTGCTGTCACCCTGCCCCAACTACATTACTAACACTGGGGAGAGCGTTGTGTGTGTGAGAGCATTACTTATCCAAGACCAACCCCAGATCTGTCAAAACCACAGTTCACTGTGACCCACTCAACGATCTCTCTGTCTGTCCTTTTCCCACCTATGAGAATAGAAATAAATCTAATCTGTCTGTCCTGCCCTTCTCTTCTCTTAAACTAAAACTAATGTTGACACATTCTAAAAAGTGCACTTAAAACCTCTTTATAGAAAAGAAAACTCCTTTGCGAATCTGTCCGCAGCTTGCTGTCTGTTCATCAAATATTTCCCAGCGTCCCTCTCTGTCCTCTGGTCACACCTGCATGCCTGGTTTGCTCAGGTCCCCATTGCCATGGTTACCCCCTCCTCCTCCTCCTCCTCCTCCTCCTCCTCCTCCACCACATCCCGCCCCTCGAATGACTGTCTCCTCCTCATCGTCGCTGTCGAGCTCCTCGCTCTTCCTCTTGCTGTACCGCTCGTACAGAACCATGAGCACGCCCATCACCCACGCCGACACTGTCCCGGCGCTGAAGATGACGAAGCCGATGGCGATGAAGAACAGGTAGTCCCAGTAACCCAAGCCCTGGTGGCATTCTGACCGCAGCTGCATGCCCACCTCCGCCAGACGCTGACCCAGCATGTCCGGGGGACCCTGGCACACCGTCTGCCCCTCATCTAGACAGGGGAGAGAGACGAGTGGATGGGTGAGGATGAGCGCAGGAATAAAACAACAACAACAAAGTATATATATATATTTCTATTTCAAATAAACGCTGTTCTTTTGAACTTGAACTTTAAAATATCGATATAATATCTATAGTCTACTTATACTCTACTAACACTCTAATGAGAGTTAGTTGACATGGAGGTGCAACGTTACTTATAGTTAAGAGAATGTGTTAAACGGACCATCAAAATAAAGTGAAACCAAATACAGTCCTTAAAATATTATAAATATAGTAAATGTATTACTATTAATAATATTAAATATTTAAATATTTTAGAAAGTGTCCTGCTAAATCTTGACCAACAAGAGCGTGTTTTTTATTAAACACACTCAAGTTCTGTTTATTGTCTCTGACACTCCTCTCTGTGTCTTTTTCTTACACTCGCATAAGCAAAAACTGGCTCAGAACACACACACACACACACACAGTGTCGTGAGCCCTCCAGCAGTGACCCTGAGGAAGAAGCAGGTCAGTAATCATCATGTTAAAGCCTGAGCCCAACAGAGCATCAGCCTGTCAGCTCAACATATCAGCCTGACAGAATGATCCACAAACACACGCTCAGTGAGACTGAGGCTGGCCACCAATGAACTTCTGTGATCTTCGCAGTTTCTCATTACACACAGTCGGTGACCAGCTAACAGGGACCGTTCTCAGATCTTCCCTAACATTCTGGCAAGGGTCTCTCAAAGTTCTGAACAAACATTTCCAGTAATGTAAATATTATGTTCCCTTTAATAATGTTTTCAGAACGTTAGCACAAAAACGTTATTTATACATGGTTCATGGAATATGTTAGCCTGGGAAAACCCAGACAACTTCCGGCACATTTAGATTTGCTCTGAAAGTTAGTCTGGCAAAGAGCTCATTCAAGCCCATTTCCAATCCGCCGAAATCGCGGCACCAATCAGAAACGTTGGTGCGGGCTTTACACGATGACGACAGCGCTGGGATTTTGAAGCAGATTGTGTAGCCTACATTACAAAGATGGATGCCGCCGTCGAACATCACTCGTTCGAATCAGCTATCGCGTCTGTTTTAAGCGATTTGAACGTTTCCTTTTAGTTAAAAACCGAGCAAAGAACAACACTCGGAGATGTTTCTCCGCCGCTCTGCATACGTCATCTCCTTCATCGCTCTGATTGGTTTTAGGTCTATCCGCGACGTCCGTTGGTGACGCCCCTCTGGAAATGATTTGTCTATGACGCTTTGCCAGACCATAACTCAGTTACAACTGAGAATGGTCTGGTTTTAACCTTTTACTGTCTATGGTTTTAACCAGGCTAGGAATATGTTTTTTTCCCCTGATTTTTTTTTAGTTTTTTAGTTGTCTAATGTTTTTTTTTTAAAATGTTGCTACTCGTTTTAGAATGTTCAGAGAAGATTCAAAAGTACCGTTCCTATAATGTTTGCAAAATAATAAAGAAGGAATGTTCCCTTAACGCTTGCGTAACCAAGATTTTTTTCTGGATGTTTTGAATAACTTAATGGGAACATTAGCAAAATGTTCGTAGAACATATATTTTTTAGCTTGGTACTTCCTAAAACAAATAAGCGATCACAAAAAGAAAGATAAAGAAGTCTATTTTCTTCGTGTCCTTCGCCTTTGTGACATTTCAATAAATTTATTTTTGTCCCCAAAGATAATAATAAATGCCTGTTGGTTTGGCAGTGTGAGTTGTTAGGATAAATTATGTCACTTCACCTTTAATCAAAAAGCACTTTGTCAAGCACTCCATGACAAAGAAGGGAAGAGAGTGTGAAAGAATAGAGCCGGAGATAAATCACCTCTGAAACCTAGATTGCCCTGGAAAGAGTTCTGCATTCAGCAGAGATTTAATGAACACCTTGACCACAGCCAAATGTACTTCAAAACTCTGTGATCAGTCATTATCAGATGACTGAAAAATGTACAGAAATGTCAGAAAGTTTTTAGTACTGAATGTTCTTAAGGGATCCCATTGGATTTACATCACTTTTTTACATGACAATTTCTACCTGATATATAATGTGTGTTCTTTATAACAAATACCCATGACATTTTAAGATTATTAATTTACATGACTTTTCCAGGTCTAGACATTACTTTTAAAATGATGCTTCCCTTTCGAAGGTGACTCACTCTCCCAGCATTCGCATATTGCATCTCATAACCTTATACAGTTAGCCTATATCAGATCAAATGCACACGATTATCCTTGCTTAATGTTATGAACAGCAACATCTGATAATTGTTCAACAGAGAAGTGTGGAAAAGACCACCTGGTGCTAAAGACAGGGATTACAGGTAACTAATCTTTCATACAGGCAAAAATAGCAGACCGACATTATGCAAGTCATTATGATGATTAGTGTGTCCCATACCCTTGTGAACGGGGCCAGGAACAACCACCTGCCCCAGCAGAGACAGTGTGACCTCTGGGCTTTATTTGCTGTCAAGCTGGTCTCCTACTACAGCCATATGAGCCATGAGGTAATATCAGCACAAACAAGACAAATGTGGAACTATTTGAGGCGCGCCGTGCTTTTATATCAGCCACACGGCGTCTTAAAGGAATGCTCTGCATGTGGAGGTATTTAAACTTGGTCACTTGTGTTTTTACAGATTAGATGGTTATTAAAACATTATGAAAAGACCAAGTCTGAACTTTGAATGCCCTTCGAAATGCAATTAAGGTACATATTTAGTGCAAAAGGATAGAATTTACAGCCCTAATAACACATTTTTGCAAATAAAATGTACAAAAATATGAGCTACTAATAATCTCTCCATAACCCATAGACTTGTAAGTGCATTACTGTCAACAGTCTTAGGTTTATTGTATTATCTTAAACACTACTGATCAAAGGTTGGGGTCAGTAAGGCTTGTTTAAATGTATTTTTGTTGAAAGAAGTCTCTTTCCCCAAAGCTTAATTTATTTGATCAAAAAATACAGTAATATGTTTTAAAATGTAATTTATTCCTGTGATGTCAAAGCTGTATTTTCAACATCATTACTCCAGTCTTCAGTGTCACATGATCCTTCAGAAATCAGTGTAATATGATGATTTGATGCTCAAGAAACATTTCTTTAACTGTTGTGCTGCTCAATATTCTTTCTGATGTATAGAAAGTTTTTAAAAAGCATTTGTTTGAAATAGATTTTTTTTCTAACGATGTAAGTCTTTACTGTCACTTTTGATCAATTTAATGCTTGCTGAATAAAATATTTATTAAAAAATAATTGACCCCAAACTTTTGAAGTTTTGAAGTCATTCCGTGTCAACTCAACCAAATGTCCCCGGCTCAAATTTCTGATTTTGTTAATATTTTTCTGTACAAAGACAAATATAAATAGTGATGAGAGCCAAAATTTTAAATGCCACAGATGTATTTTTATGGAGTAATGCATTATTTCGTAGAGGGGGGTCAAAATGACAATTTTCACATGAGATTTGGAGCCAAATCTAAATAAAAAATTACGTTGGAAAGATAGCAGCATCATTATTTTCTTTTTACACAGAGATTGGTAGGTCTTTTAGTGAAATCTGTTGACTTTAACAATCTTTGTTGCATTATATGCCAACAATGACAGTTCAAAAACGGCTAAAAACCCCCACTTCTTGTGTTTTTTTTTGTCTCAAGTAGATTCTGGTTCTTAACAAACTTTCATTTTGGCATCTTCATCTTCAAGGCCCTATATGATTCAATCCCCGAGATATGGAGATCCAAGAGTAAATTGGTCAATTGTACACATTTTTTAGTGCTCAAAAATCCAAATGTGGGTCATTTTTATTTTTTTCTCTGTGTAAAAATAAAATAATGATGTTTTCATCTTTCCAAAGTAATTTTTACACTCCTGTAAACTGGCTCCAAATCTCAGGTGAAAATTGTCATTTTACCCCCCTCTACAAAATAGTGGATTACTCCTTAAATATCTGTGACATTTAACATTTTGCCTTTCATCACTATTTATGTTCGCCAGCGTCTTTCTACAGAAAAGAAATATTAACAAAATCAAAAGTTTGAGCCTGGGAAGTTTCCGAAATTTGGATGATTTTTCCTATGGCAACTGAATCCAAAACATTCCTTCAGACCACAGATCTTAGATATATTTGCCAAAATGTTATAAATAGCTTCCATGTTAAAAACATGAGCTACAGGCCATGACATCTCCCAATTAGTTCTATAACATAAATACTGTCTTCCTATTAGCACATGGCTACTCGAGGAGCTTGTAAATCTCTGCTCAGTCACGCACATTCATGCGTTGATTTAGGCAATCATAAGACTATTAGAGTTCATACTGACAGGACATTAGATTGCACGAGCGTATGCACATGAGCTATATTTGGCTGTGTTTCAGGCACATGAACTAGGGCTGATATGGTTTGGTCTGCGCTGTGGTGACAGAAACGAATGTGTTTCTTTGTGCTTAATGGATCAAAGAGTAACGCAGAAAGCATTTGCAGCGAACAAACCAAGATGCAAAGAGAATGTGATACTGAACGGACCTCGACGCCCTCAAATGTTTCTTTCTCACACACACACACGCGCGCGCACACACACACACACACCTTTTAAGCCCCTGCCAAAAGTATGACCTTACATTACATCCCAGACTAGAGGGGTTTCTGTGTGTGACGACAAATCACGCAATTATCAAAAGTCCCAAACCATAACTCTGTTATTTATGTCTAATCTGTCCTCCCTCTATGATTAGCCTTTCTTTCTTGGTCTTTTTACCTCTCTCGATCCATCCTTCTTTCCTTGAGGGCATATTAGCTCAAAACACGGTCTCTTGCGTCATTCCTTGTCATCATCTCTGACACACATGCTGAAAGAGGGCGATTGCTCAGAATGTGTCATTACAGAGGTAATCTCACTGTGCCCACCATCAATTTACCCACAAGTCACCATTTCCCCTCACCCCAAAGGTATAGCAATTTTTCTTGTTGTTTGAGAT